CACTCAAGCTAGAATTTTTCAAACATTCTTGAGATTTGTTAGGCTGGCTTTGTCCCAGAAAAACTAAGATACATTTCAAATGTTGCATTGTGTTGGGTAGCCTTCATCCACGAATCTGTTATTAGAAACCCATATGCAGTTGGCCCTGTACATTCATGGGTTCCGCATCCTCAGATTCAACCAACTACAGATCAAAAACATTCTTAAAAAAACTGTACGGTTGTGTCTGTACTGAACATGCACAGACATGTTTTTCTTGTCATTATGCACTAAACGATACTGTGTAACAATTGTTTACATAGCATTTACATTGCATTAGGTATTATAAGTAATCTAGAGATTATTTAAAGTACATCGGCCAGGTGTGGTAGCTCACACTTATAATCCCAACTACTTGGGAGGCTGAGGCAGGAGGATCATTTGAGCTCAGGAGCTCAAGGCTACATGCCTCTGCACTCCAGCCTGGGCAACAGAGTGAGACCCCATCTCTAAAAGCATAAAAAGAAAAAAAAAAGTACATGGGAATATTGCATAGGTTATATACAAATGATATACCATTTTATATAAGGGACCTGAGCATGCATGGATATGGGGGGGTGTCCTGGGACTAATTCCCCAAGGATACCGAGGGACAACAAACTATGGACCCCAAACCAGGTGCTCTGTGGATGAAGAGCTTTCCTCTGAGATGAGGGAAGCAGGAAGAAGATGGAAATTGGGGAAGGCTTTGTGGGAGAGGTGGCAAATGAGCAGGAGCTAGAACAGAATTCAAATGTGGGTTTGTGGAGGAAAGGAGGAAGACAGCTCAGAAAGAGAAGTAGTCTACAGCCATACCACCCTGAATGTGCTTGATCCTGGCTGATCTCAGAAGCTAAGCAGGGTTGGGCCTGGTTAGTACTTGGATGGGAGAAAGAAAGGTGAAGGGAGGAATACGGCAAGGAGCATTTCAGCTGGCTTAAAAGGGTGAAGTGGGCTGGGTGTGGGGGTTCACGCCTGTAATCCCAGCACTTTGGGAGGCTGAGGTGGGCGTATCAGGAGGTCAGGAGATGGAGACTATCCTGGCTAACATGGTGAAACCGTGTTAATTTTTGTCTCTACTAAAAACACAAAGATTAGCTGGGTGTGGTGGAGCATGCCTGTAATCTCAGCTACTCGGGAGGCTGAGGCAGGAGAATCGCTTGAACTCAGGAGGTGGAGGTTGCGGTGAGCCGAGATGGCTCCATTGCACTCCAGCCTGGCGACAGAGCGAGACTCTGTCTAAAACAAAAAAAAAAAGGTGAAGTGGAGGGAGCAGGGAATAAGACATTCCAAGAGAGACTATGCAGGAATTTTTTTAAGCCCGTAAGAGAAAAAGTTGTGGCTTGAATGGGGAAATGTCAAATCACTTAGTTTGGCTAGAAGTTAGGGTAAAGGGAAAAGACGGAAAAAAGGAGATCAGAAAGGTTAGCCATGGTTGAATCATAAGAAAAACCAGGATTCAGAAACAGGGTGACGATATAACCCAGTGTTTGCCTGTTGTCCAGTGGCAGTTCCTGTGTCCCGTTCTGGACATTGTCTTTAGAAACAGCACTTGATAGAGGGTTTATAACACAGAGGTACAAAAAGTAGAAGATGGTATAAAACAAGAGGTATGTGTAACATGTTTCTGTCTTGGTGGATCAACGTTTAGTCTAAGTTAACTACCATTTATTAAGTGCCTGCCCTATTCTAGGCATTACAGCGGGCAGCCCTGAAAGTAGGTTAATACCTATATTTAACTAATTCAACAAATATTAACTTATACTGTGTAGTAGGCCATGGACAGGATGCTAAAAAGACTTCAGAGATGTTTCAGGTGTAGATCTTCTATCAAAGGGTCAGTAAATATTCCAGTGCAAGCTGGAATCTGGACCTGATGGAGGTGAAAGAGAGTAAAAAAGCCAAGAGTGTTTAAATGCAAACAAAAGTAGATGTATACTGTGCCTCTCCATTTACTGGTCACATGAGCTCGACTTGTGTCTAAACCATGTACCAGACAGTGTTTTCTGAGGATCATTTGAGATAACTTATTGACAATGTCAGTCCAGATTAGATGTTCCATCTGTGCAAATTTCCTTTCTCTAGAATCTGTTCGTGTAGCTTTACCAGGGTTAGTTCACGGATGGCTGATTTTTTTTTTTTTTCAGGTTTTTTTCTTTTTAGAGTACTAAGCTATACTCATAATATGCTTCTTATCAAAAAACATTAATTAGGTAGGAGTTTTTTAAAATACTGGTCTGATGGCTAAGGGCCATTTAACACATCGCAAATACTGTGAGGCAGAAGTATCGCCCCTAATTGACTGAATATGGTCCTTCTCATGTTCCCCATTATTCCATTAATAGAATAATGGTCTTCCATTATTCTTGACAGGAAATAACATGGTTCCCACAAGCATTTAAAATACATTTCAATTAGGATGACACAGGTGTAAGATTATACGGTCCTCTAAAGTAAGAGAAGGAAGCCTGAGGTGAGTCCATCCTTGAACTTATTTTGCTTAGAGCGCTATGAAAAAGTTATAGAAAGTTATAGGAAAGGAGCAAACGAGTCAAATCTGAAATATTAGGTGGATCTTAGGCTTCTGAACTTGAACTTTTGGGCTTTGTTGCCTACACACTTGCTAGAACATTCTCTTTTGTGGAGAACTGGCTTCTAGTGTTAAAACCTTCTATGGAAGAGAAATCTGAATAAGTTACATATCAAAGCCAGCATCTGAATTTGTAGAATTAAAATGTTTTTTTTAAAAAATCGCTTTTTAATTCAAATCTCGTATCTCACCTGATCAAGTTTCTTATCCTTTAAATATAAAGATTCTTACATCCCCTATATATATGTAAACTGATACATATTAGTTAGATATTGCATACTGTAAGGAAAGTATTTAATTCTAGATTTACACTGTTCTGGCTACATCTTTGCTCACAGAGATTCTCAAAGGGTAGAGCTCTTGTAATAATTTACTGTGCCTCAGTTTCTGGAACACGGACATAATGAATTCCCCTCCTTACAAGGTTATTCTAACAATGAATTAAAATAATGGCTATGGAAATATTTCAGAAAAGGCATAATGTATTTTAAAAATGCAAAGCTGAGACCTATTTACTTCAGCATATATAAAATCCCCCCAAATAGGGTACATTTTGTGATTCTGAGAAGAGACCATTTCCTTCTGAATTTCTCCCCGTTTCTTCCTGGCACCTGTGTTCTGAAATGCAGATTCTAGTGCAATTGGGCCTCCGAAAGAACGTGACCCTTTACAATGTGAAAGTCACCAAGTGCAATGATTCTAGCCAAAGTGACCCATTTTAAAAGATGACCCATTTCAAAACCCATGAGTTATTATTCAAGCTGTTCTATTTTTGAGAATTAGAAAGTTTTTTTGTTTGTTTTTTACAGTCTCACCATTTGAATGTCTTTTATTAAAAAAGAAAACTGATCTCCACTTTAATGAAATACAATATTTCATGTTCTACTTGATGGGGCCTGTACTTTATTTTGAAAATTCTTCTGCACTTTCTGAGTTTTCTCTGGGCAAAGCAGTTATAAGCATCTCTACCTCCTACTCATCCTCATCTCCCACTTTCTCAGGAACAGCTGCTCTGAGCTTTGGCTTGGGCCTTTCCTGTGATAACACTGGTTCTACCTTAAGGTGCCACAGGGAGCCTTGCAGGGCAGGGAAGGGTCAGCCTGAGTCAGCCTCCTCCTCAGAGAGTGCTCAGTCAATGCTCAGAGCGTGTGCAAGAGGAGAAGGAAGAGTGAGAAGGACAAGCAGGTTAAGAACTGAATGGAAAACATTTCGGGTATTGCATTTAGCTTGCTTTAAAAGCAAAGAGTTGGCCCGAGAAAGCCGCTTTCACCTCCTCACTTGTGACCAGATAGAAAATCTACCATAAATTTCTGAGAAAGTTATAACATCAGCTGCTGATCACTAATCACCCTTTCAGAAAGTTCAGGTTGGGATCATTTCAGTGCCACCACTTAAGACAACTACCTTCAATCTTCCTTTTCTGGGTCAACTTCAGCTTTTCACATTCCTCTCCCATCCCCCACAGGGACCAGGCAAGGTTTCCCAAAATAAAGGCACAGAGGAACAAATCCAATTCTGATGGATGTACTTTCATCAGATAATTACCATAAATATGAGCCTCAGGCCACCACCAGCCACTGTGCGGTTTCCACATCAGTGTCCCTTTAACAAGATCTGTAACCTAAGAAAACCCACACTGGCCAAGAATGTACAGGGTGTAGTCAAGAGCCGAGTTGAAAACTGTTACTTTTACCTATATGGTATCCAAGCAAGCAATTGCCTCTGTCACATCAGGATTCAAAATGAAATTAGGCAGAGTCAAAGGAAACAGCGGCCACGACCTCCCCGCCAGAAAGATCTACGGCTCCAGTCTCCCCGCCTGCCCACTTCCCTGTCCCCATTTCCCCCTGCCAGTAACTCGCCGAAAGCGTTCCCAGGCTGGCGGTTTCCTCTTTCCAGGCCGACGCGGGCTGTCGACTCGAATTCAGCCCTCCCGCCGGACGCGGGTGGCCGCAAGCCTGGGGCCCCGGCCGGCAACTGAACTGGTGGGCGCGGCGTTCGCCTCGCGGCTCCCGCGCCCGGGCCGGTCCCGCCACCGAGGAGCCGGAGCTCCTCAGGGAATGGGACCGCGCCGGCCCCGGGAAGCCACCCCAACCGGAGCTGCCCGGCCCCCGAGCCTACCTGCCGCACCTGGGCGGCGGCCGGGCCTGGGTCCCAGCCGCTGGCCACCCGCGCGGGCAGGCCGGAGGGAACAAAGGCGCTCCGGGGAGGGGGCGAGCCTCCTTCCCCGCCGCGCTTGCGGAGGGCGGGCTGCCGGGGCCCGCGGTGGGAGAGGCCTCCCCGACTTCCCGGCTTCCCGGCGCTGGGCGGTGCGCGGTCCGGGCCAGGGCGGCGGGCCCCGAGCCAGTGTCCACGCCAGCCGCGCGCCCCCGCCCCGAGCGCGCGTTCCCACCTGAAGTCCTCGCGCCACGCGCCGGGCGAGGACCAGCGTGTCCTCACCTCCTAGCCACTCTTCCCCCGCGGAGACCTCGCTCGGTCCGGAGTGGGCAGACTCGGAGCCTCCCGCGCCGGAGACCGCGAACCGCTCGGCCGAGAAGGCGCGCCGGGCGGGGGCGGGGCGGAGGGGGCGGCCCGCAGCCCCAGTGCCGGGAGCCCGCGCGGGAGACCCAGGGAGCCCAGCTCGGGGCCGCGGCACGGAGAACGAACCATCCGGGTCCTGGAGACGTATCCCGCTGAGCGGCCAGAACTTTCCCCATTTAGCGATCCGGAAGGGAAGTCAACATTCCCACCCAGAGAAGCCTCGGCCCGCGGAAAGATGCGTCCGCGGCACAGCAGCGTTTTCACCACGTAACCGACCACAAACTAACTCCGCGCGGAACCACCGGCCCGGGGCACTCCGCCAAGAGGCGGACTGTGTTGGCCTCGCGGGTCCTGAGCCCAGGGCACGCCGCGGTTCCTCCCACACAGGACACTGGTTCTGCCGCGCAGCGGATTAGGGTGGTCTTTTCGTTTCTGAGCGGGAGCTCTAAGGCAGGCTCTCAAGCGGGTCTTGTTAAAAGGTTTCTGGTCACACCACTTATGCCTGGAGCTCTGGGGGCCTCAGTAACAAAGGAAGGAAACTTACAGCAAAATAAGGCTGCACTGCCGCGATCCGTTTCTAAAATACGAGAGGGGGGGGGAAACCCCGCCCCAGGCCAGCTTCCCAGTGACTTTACCTCCAAGTCCAGCTTCATTTCAAGGGCAGTTTAGAGCGAAACTCACCAAGTCCAAGCCCAGCTCTTTAAATGTCCAAATCTGAGGTCGGCTTTCCTTCCCGCATCGGAGCGAAAGTCGCTGGTCTCAAGAACAAAACTTGCGGGCTTTAAATCTTGGGCGAAGACTGGACGGGCAGCGCTGGATTGGGCTCGCTTCCCCGGCGGGATGCTGGCTGGATGCGGGCGGAATGGGCGCCGGCCCGGGCGGGGGCGCTAGGCTCCTAGCCGCGCGCCCCGCACCTCTCGGCGTCACGGCCCGAACCCGGCCCAGCGCGTAGGTGAAGGTAATGGGCCCCGCCCCAGTTTGTACTTGTCTGTAGATGAGAATTCCAGGAAGTGTTTCCCTGCCGCTCTTCAGTTAATTGCGATCACTTACTCAAATGGCCAACTGAAAGCCAGAGTGCACGTGAATGTCCTCTTTGAACTTCAGAATACTTCCTGCAGGTAACCAGACAATATCGAGAGATGCGGGCTTCTACTCAGGGAGAGAGATTATGAATGAATCCTGTATGCACTTGGTTTCTTGTTCCCCGCATGTTAGACCTCTCCCTAAAGCCACAAAACATTTAACGGAGATAATATTTTGAGCGATTCTGTTATTGTACCTATTTCAGAACATGATAGAAAAGCACAAGATTAATCCAAATACTTTAGTAAAATAAAAGCTTTGAGTTTGTCATAAGGGGAAGAAGACAGGTAATGAGTTAAATGTATGACTGTTGAATCAGGGTTTAAAACAGTGGGGCCAGCAGGCACGGTGGCTCACACTTGTAATCCCAGCACTTTGGGAGGCTGAGCCGCAGGAGGATTGCTTGATCCCAGGAGTTAGAGACCAACCTGGCCAACACAGCAAGACCCCATCTCTAAAAGAAAACACACACACACAATGAAAACTGCAAACATTGTACTTGTTCATTCAAACTAGATTTTTAGAAAGTTTTTAAATTGCTTTCCTTAAGCAGGTCAGCATCTTTTAAATCATGCAGTTCTTTTCATATGCTACCTACAGAGGGCATGGCTCAGCACCTCCCAGACTGTGGCACTGCATGTACGTCAGACCATAGACAGAAATATTTACATATGTGATTTGCAAAGGAGTCACTGACAGTGACCCACAAATAAGCTGATTCATTATTAATACAGCACTAATCACATACCTTCTGTAATAAAATGCTGACTGAAATCCCACATGCATTTCCCCCAGCCATCACAAGTGCATGTTGGATATCTGTGCAAATATTCAATTACAATTATATTCCTTTCAGATCATTTGGAACTAGGTCCATGTGTCAGGATACATATGTTCCACATACATGAACACATAGAACTGTACCCACGAGAAATACAAACTGACCAAAACCGTGATAGACACACATAAAAATCACATATTCATGTCATACTAGATACAGATAAACATACCAGATAGATAAATGGTTTCAAAAGTATGTCTGGAAATTGGAGATACAATGCAAGCTTTTTGGTGGTAGTAGGGAGAGATGAGAGGGTGTGAAGGAGAGATGGGCAAGGTCAAGTAGTCCAGAATGCCCACCCTGGGATCCACACAAGCTCAGGTCACACATGGGAGGGGACAGGGAAGTCCCCTTTGCTTGTTTGGAAAGATTTCCTAGAGCATCATGGCTTCCTGTCCCACCCAGAGAGAAGGGAAGAGAATGACAGATTTGATGGTATTGATGGTGTTATGCTCAGTTACTTTTATCAAGAGGGAGTACATGAAGCTGTTGAGATGTGTTAGAAATAAACTTAGGTAATAATGATGCTGACTTGGCCATCAGGAAGAAGGAGGACCGTGTTGGCATGCTTTCCTTATCCAAGTAGCAGCTGATAAGCAGAGAGCCCTGTGATTAGATCTATACATGACTTTGGAATGACCAAAATCTGCATGTTAGACTCAGCAGGGATAGATAAGGCACAGAAAGAGCAGAGGAGTAGCAGATTTAGGAAAGGGGATCAGAGAGTAAGGCAATACATGCATCATCAGTAGTGGAGAGGGAAGACTAAACCTGAGTGCAAGACCCTGGGAGATGGTGGGAGCAACAGGGGCCCAAGGAAGAGGCTGGTGTTACTAAAATCATGAAAGGAGAAGCAGGTCTGATAACTGAGTGGCTTAACACAACTGAAGCATAGCAGCACAGTGTCAGGCTTGACCTGTTTCGCGAAATTTGTCTTTCTGGATTCTCTTAGACCAGATTTCCTCATGGGCCTTATAGGGAACCTGTCCTGGGAATTTGAACACAGCGCGGGCCATGTATTCTGAAGCAGGCCAGTGTTCATTCAAGGCCTGGGCTGTTAGAGAGACTCTGGCTGGATCCTGACCTGGCTTCCTACACAGGAGCTGGCAAGTTACCAAACTTCTCTGTGCCCACAGTAATACTTGCCTGCAAGGGTAGGTGAGGATTAGTGCAATCATAGTGATGGGGGGAGTGCTGAGCTCAGAGCCTGGGCTATCCCAATGGGGTGGATGAATGGTTGGCATCCTCGAGCCCGCCACAGGCTGCAGAAAGCTCCTCTTACCTGGCAGAGGTGGGCTCATGCTGTGTCCTATCATCGTGCTGTAAAGGATCTGCTGTGTTTCACACCTCTGGGAATTTCATTTCTGTTGATACAGCATCACCATTCAAACAACGCTCTATCTCCTTGGGTCCGCTTCCTCTTTCGCTGCTTACTGGCCACCTCCCACCACACGCAGCCTTTCTTGGTGTTCTTTTCTCTCCACACTTGCTCCTTGCTGATCTCACCCATTGTCTTTAATCTTGACTTACATTTCTTTCTTTTTTTTTTTTTCTTTTTTTGAAACTAAGTCTCACTCTGTCACCCAGGCTGGAGTGCTGTGGCACGATCTCAGTTCACTGCAACCTCTGCCTCCCAGGTTCAAGTGACTCTCCTGCCTTAGCCTCCCGAGTGTCTGGGATTACAGTTGTGTGCCACCACACCTGGCTAATTTTTTATATTTTTGGTAGAGATGGGGTTTCACCATGTAGGCCAGGCTGGTCTCGAACTCCTGATTTCAAGTGATCCGCCTGCCTCAGCCTCCCAAAGTGCTGGGAGTACAGGCATGAGCCACCACTCCCAGCCCACCCTGATTTATATTTCTAACCCAGATTCTCAGCTTCGAACTTAAGTGTCTTTGGGTATGTCACATCAATCTTCAGCTTAATATGTCTAAAATGGGATGTATAAATACGGGATTGGGAAATGGTTAATGGACAGGACTTGAATGCCCCGAAAGCCAGAATCCTCCTTCTTCTCACCAGTGACCCAGCCCAGGGTGTTATGTGTCAGTAACAGTCGGCAGTATTTTGTCACTGTATAAGTTATATGTCTTTTGCCTCAACTGGCTGCGGGGAGGGGAAAAAAAGTTGTATGTCTGTTTTGCCAACTACTTTGAAAGTCTTCAGATCTCTTGTGGGTGAACACCACGTCCTGCTCTTCTCTGAGTCCCTCAAAGAACCCCCCCATCTCCTTGCCACCCCCACAACAATGCCTATCACAGAATGAATGCCTGGTAACTGCAGGTTGAATTGAATTTTTGCATAGCACTTCCACACTCATCAGTTATTCAAACTTCTGTTCCAAGAATCCCATCCGTAGTACAGTGGCCCTGTGTACTTCTCCTTTGATGCCACCAAGGCCCAAAAGCTGACCCTGGAGGCACACTAGCCCTTTCCTGCAGTTCTTGCTACTGCTTCTGTGGCCTGGCGCCCTTCAGCAACCTCCCTCAATTCCAGGGCCTCGGCAGTTTGATGAAATTGTACTAGGTACACCCAGAACTGGAAGATGAAGCAAACTGACAGCACAAGGAGGCACTCACCTGCAGGCCATTCTGAGAACCCAGTTTCTTCCATTTTCTTCTCCTTTGCTTGGGGGAGGGGTCTCCTGGGACTGATCAGCTCCTTCACACCAACACATAAGGAAATCTCTTATGTGCCATCTAACACTCGGTGGGACCTCTCAGACGCAGGGACAGGGATAATCTTGGAGGGGCAGGCCCTGCTGGCTGGGACCCTCCCTGGTCCAGTAGAGCTGTGCTGTCAACCCTCCGACAGCCCCTGTGAACATGGCCTGATACCAGTCCCTGGCAGTGAGTCTGTCAGCATGTCTTCTCCTTTTCCCACCAGCAGATCAGACACACACTGCACACTCCCGAGAGCATACAGGGTTCTGTGCAGGCTCCAGAGGGCGGCCTCTAACTCAGCTCTTTCTCTCCTCCTTAGGAGGGCACATGCACATTGAGTGAGGGAGTGACATTTTTGTGGGAACAATCTTGAGTGCTGATTAACACATATTTTAAAAGACAGTTGGCACTTAGTCTAGTCACAGCTATCTAAACTGAGCAAAACAATTTGCATCCTGTGATGGGGTGGTACAGGGGGACAGAAGACCATTACAGCCCCTAGAAATGGTTACTGACAACAAGACGGGGGGCTACATGGCTGGCCCAGAGGCAATCATTTGTGTTGGGAATTTTGCACTTAGGTTTGGTTGGACTAATATTTAAGGAACAACTAAAATGTAATTTTCATTTTAAAAAAATATACATTTTTTTCTGAGACAGGGTCTCGCTCTGTTGCTCAGGCTGGAATGCAGTGGCCAGTCACGGCTCACTACAAGCTTGACCTTCTAGGCTCAAGCAATCTTCCTGCCTCAGCCTCCTGAGTAATGGGGACTACAGGTACACATCATCACACCCAGCTAATTTTTTTATTTTTAGTAGAAATGGAATTGCTCACTATGTTGCCCGGGCTGGTCTTGAATTTCTGGGCTCAAGCGATCCACCCACCTCTGCCTGCCAAAGTGTTAGGATTACAGGTGTGAGCTACTGCACCAGGTCTAAAATGTAATTTTCCATTTCCCATTTTTAAATACTTAGTAATTACTAAGTGCTAATTTCCTGCTTTACGGAGAGTACGTGGTTCAAATCCCACTCAACCAATTTCCAAAAGGCAGTTAAAAGTCTTCCTAGGGTTTACATTGAGTACTCTTTCATATAAGTAGACTATTAGATAAAACTTGCTATGCTGGGATTTTCCTTATAGCAGTACTTCTAAAAAGACAATTCTAAAGTCCATGATAAATTCATGTGATCTGAAACCATATACATTTCATGAATCAGTCTTGGTGGTCTGATGGTCCAAAGTTGTAAAGCCCGATATTAATACCTAATTGGCTCTGCAGATTTAGGGCTAAGGAATCCTAGGAAAGATTTCTAGGATTCCTCTGAGAGGAATTCCTCTGAGAGAGATGTTGGCATCATACTTAATAAATAAGTAAACCCTCTTGGGAAAAACAGGGATCTATTAGAATAATAGAATATCTGCTGCTAGATAAAGACGCAAATAGATCTGCGTCTTTTTGCACAGGGGCAAAAAGAGGCACAGGGGAGGGAAAAAGGGGCACAGGGCAGGAAAAGTAGCATGTGTCTTCTCAACATTTTCGGCTCTTTGACTGTTTCATAGGCATGCTTTTTATCTTTGGGAATTTCCTTTTTGCAGTAGATTTCCTTTTGTTTTCATGAGGTAGAAGCTCTGGGTGCAGTTGACCCTTGGTATCCATGGGGAATTGGTTCTGGGACCCTTGTAAATAACAAAGTCCACAGATGCCCAATCTCTTATGTAAAATGGTGTAGTATTCGCATATAACCTATGCACAGTCTCCCATATACTTTAAATAATCTCTGGATTACTTATAATACCTAATACAATATAAATACTATGTAAATAATTGTTATACTGTATTGCTTTTAAAATTTGCATTATTTTAATTGTTATAGTGTTATTTATTTATTAATATTTTCAATATGAGGGGTGTTTAATCCACAGATGTGGAACCTATAGAGACGGAGGACTGACTATAATTGTTTCACAATTTCTTTTCTTTACTGAAGATTACTGAGTTACTTGGATACTCCTGTTGGGATTACTACCAGTAGTACTCTTTCTTGGGAACTGAAGTAATGAGGTTTTCCTATCAGCTGTATTCTAGGAATCTCCTTGCTGTGCCAGACATCTCTGACACCATGTCTTGTTATATTTGATTGCAGATGTGCTTCTGAACCAGAGTATTGAGATTTCAGCCACATTCCTCAAATCCCAGGCATACATAGATAATGGTCTGAGCTAGCCCTTTTTCTGTAACCTGCTTCTCTGTGTCCTTGCTGTACAGGCCCTGTCTCTCAAGGAGACGAGTCAGAAAAGTGGGCACTGTTTCAATGGACTGACATTCATGCTCGACACATCAGTTCCCCTGTCACTGTTAGATAAAACTTGCAGGCAGTTTGACCTCAACCAAGTCAGTGCTCAGAGCCCTGATTTGCTCTTCTGTGAAATGAAAATAACAATTAGTACCTACTCTTGTCCACAGAATTGGCATGCATCCTATAAATCTATCAACCATCCATTCAATTAACACTTATTGAGAATTCACTTGCTTGCAAGGCACTGGGGCCAAGGATGAATAAGATAGGACATCTGCCCTAGAGGAGCTCTTGTTAGGGATTTAATGGATCAAGTAAGATAATGAACACATTAAAAATAAAAAAAAAAAAAACCTTATTTCGTGCCCATTGGGTTAGCTATTATATTTTTTTCTTTTTTCAAAAAAAAAAAGAATGATAATCTAAGTGTTGACCAGAATGTGGAGCAATTAGAACCTTTGTGCACTGTTGACAATATAAAAGGTGCAGCTGCTGTGGAGGGTGGTATGGCAATTCCTCAAAAAAGTTAAAAATAGAATGATCCTATGATCCAGCAATCCCACTTCTAGGTATATGCCCAAAATTGAAAGCAAAGACTCAAACAGGTACTTGCACATCAAGGTTCATAGCAGCATTATTCACAATAGCCAAAAGGTGACAAGAACCCAGGTATTTGTCAACAGAAGAATGGATAAGCAAAATGTAGTAGATGCATAAAATGGAAGATATTCAGCCTTAAAAACGAATCAGATTTTGATAAATGCTACAACATGGATGAACCTTGAAAGCATTATGCTACGTGAAATAAGTCAGACACCAAAGGATGAATATTGTATGATTCCACTTATGTGAGACACCTAGAATAGGAAAATTCATACAGAAAGTAGAATAGAGGTTCCCAGGAGCTGTGGGGAGGTGGAGAATGAGGTCATGTTTAATAGGTACAGAGATTCAGTTTGGGATGCTGAAAAAGTCTGGAAATGGGTAGCGGTGATGGTTATATAACATTGTGAATGTACTTAACACTACTCAACTATACACTTAAAAAAAGGTTTAAATAGTAAATTTTATGCATATCTTACCACAATTTTTAAAAACTTTATAATACCTAAAATGCCATACAAATGCAGGCATTGTTAAGTTGAATTAAGATTAATGGGACTGTTTATGATCAATCTCTTAAAGTGCTATATGCATAAAATTACTTTATCATTATTTATTGTGTGATATTGAAGAACATCTATTCAGATAAACTTTAATAATAATTTATATCTCATCTTCTTCCAAAAAGAATTTGAGGTAGTTTACTCTAAAATCATCAGGGTAATGAGACCAAATCCTATTAATATAAGACAAAATATAGAAACTGAGATGCAAAGCAGAGAAGAAGGAAGAGAAGGCAGGTCACCTGAGCAAAACTCAACTGTTATCCTCCTAGGAACCAGGGAAGTGTTCATATTTAATCAGACCTTTTGTTCTTAAAATGTCATTAGTTTCAATATGATCCTTGTAGGGGTCTATAGTGCTTTGTGTTGTTACCATTAACAGTTCTAGGAATTTATTTTATAATTAGGAAACATCTAATCAAAACAGAAGAAGGATCTAAAACTTAAG